TAAGTCGAATGATCACGACGAGAAATGCTCAGCCCCAATGCGGAGTGCTCGAAAGGTCCTAAGTTGGCTAGGAACCTCGGCTCAACCACTCATCTTTCCAGGGATCCGAATCACATGAGCGCCTGAGTGGAACGGCCCCTCAAAAAATGAGCTTTATCATAAACATTGCTCCAACAAGTATAAACTTGAGAAACCGGTCGGAAGTGAATCCGTGGAGCTTCGTCATTGCAAAAATCACACTTCCGCATGCTCACGCGGCCGCGCAATTCGGATATCCTTGGCCAGGCCTATACAAACCCAAAGTCCCAGCTGTGCAGTGAACTTGGTAGCTACCCGGAACCCTTCTTTGCACTGCTCGTTTTTTTGGTTGGTCTGGGAACCACGCAAACAACAACCAAATAAAGGGTGCCACTGAAAAATGGGAACTTGGTTATCTTTCAGCAAGGTACAACAGGGAAACACAGTCAAGGGAAGATCTCCCATCCAAATGCGTAACCTCTCAACGAGTGGGCATCATGAGGATCTGCGGCTAGTCATGCCAACAACCTTAAATCCCCCAGCAAGAGGCAAGTTCAATGCCTGCAAGCTGTGGTTGATCAGTGTGTTCCATCTTTGGCCAAAAGTGAATCCGACCCCTCGTCCGCCCATCTGTTGGCACCTCCACATCTCCCTTCATCCCGCCATTGCCGCGCCGTTCGGGGCCCACTAGCTTCCGAAGGGACAGGTTTGACGCGCTGCTGACTCCACTTTCCGCAAATTCACCAAACCTTTGATTGGGAAGAGAACCCACAGGTGTTTCAGCGCTGTTGATACATTGAAGTTTGGCCAGCTTGGCCTGAACAATGTGCCGGAGGGCCTGCACTAGAAAGACCAACATCATTAGAATAGGGTTCCAACTAGGGCCTCAGGGTCATTCAAGAACAATGCTTGCAAGTGTCTTGCCACTTTGCGTTGACATCCCCTGGCCAAAACATACCACTCAAAGCCTCAACAGTCAGAGCTAGAACTGAATCCTGGGACACCTTGGAGCTGTTGGGGGTCATACCGTCATACCTCTCTTTCTGCATGGTGTCCGAATCCATCAGCTCAAGCTTTGTATGCAAGGCCAGCCGGACCTACGAATTAAGAAAACATTTCACCTGAAATTGCTGCGGGTAAAAGGGGCAAGCGGATCAAGAGAGTTCCGTGGGCCTCTTTCGCAAGGAAGGCGGTTTACGGGATGGCTTCCCAATCGCACTGTTTTTATAGCAAAAATACTGGTCGTTTGATGTACGTCACTAAAATGTCGACTAAAATGCTTCCAAACAACTTGTCCAACATTTTTTTGAGCTGGAAGGGTAGGTCCTGAGGTCTACGTGCCGAAAACAGGATATTGGAAAACATGATTAACATGTCAGCTTTGGTGCTGGGAGCAATTCAAGCTGGCTATTTAATGTCCAGCACTCACCCATCCTTGTGTTCGAAAGTCGCACGGTTTCCTGGGTTTAAATCCAACTTTTCTGAGAAGGAGCAGAACGGAGAGGCGTGGGAGCTACCCAAACAAAGTTCAGGGTTCTTCGAACAATCATCCATATTGACCAAACATAGCATGCTCCATGTGCTCAAAGTGACTCACAAGGCTAGTAAGCATGACATCCGAATTGTATCCAACTATTATTCTGCGGATGCTTGGCAATGGGGGTGGGAAATGACGTGCCAAGCCCTCGCAAAGTGCCTGTCCACGATATTCGATGAGCTTTCTTTTCGCTTGGATGTGTCAACACCTCACCTGCCCAAAGAACCTGCAATTAAAAAGGCTCACCTTTCGAGACCCTGACCAAAATTGGTCCCAAAAGGGAACCCCGAAAGACTGAAATGAGATGAACAAAGGGCCGCGTCTCTTTCCCCCGCGCTTCCTTTTTGGCGCGGCTGCTTTGAACGGCTGGCCGCAAAATCCCGGAGCCGGTGTGCCACCTGGCTCACCCAAAGCTTCCATGAAGTCAGGGACCCTACAGGACCCTCAAAGACCACTGGGCAAAAGTGGTCAAAACAGCCAGCTCCTGCACCCGTGAAAGGTGAACATGAAGTGGCCACTGGCTGTAGGTCCCAATCTGCAGAGAAACTGCACTGAAAACCCGCTCAAGGCTCAAGCAGGGCACCTGTACCAAGTTTGAAGAAATAGAGGGCTTGCTTTACCCACAAGTTGACCCAGTACAGTATTTAGTAGTTGATTTCCTGAACCTGCACAAAAGTTGGAAAGACTTACTGGAGGTCTGGGAACTCCATACTTCTCCTTTTGGGACCGTAGGTCAATCCGTTTTTCTGTCCGACTTTACGACGGTTCGGATGGCAGCTAGCCTTCGGTAGGGTGGGATTTGGTTCTGCACGCTAGACTTCACCGCCCCAAATTTTCGAACCTCGCCAACCACCCGGGAAGAAGGCAACTTGCTCGTGGGTGAGTCTGCTTTGTCCCCCCTGCCCCACACGAGCTTACCTCCCCGCAGCGTTTCTGAAATCCAAAGCGTGGTGCTGGGCACACAAAAGGTGCGAATGCTGAGTGCAACCTAAAGTCCTGACACCCCCCTAGTGGACCTGCCCCATACCACACTGTAGCCAACCATCCGAGATAGATGCCTTCGTGCTTGTAGGACTGAGCAAGCAAGCCTACGTGGTAAAAGTCTGCACCGAGAACGCCAGTGATTGTGGGGAAAGCCCCACTCAGAAGACCTACTGGTGAGTGACAAGTATGTGACAAGTAAGGCTGCTAACCACACTCCTGTTTTTTCGGTATTCACCGGTATGCGCACGCGTACATGCACCGAAAACACAGCCAGCCCGAACCGCACAAACACAGGAAGTCCAGGGAACGCCACTGCATCCATGTCAGCCAGTTCAATCCAATGATTTCAATTGCACGTAACAACAAACCATTTGAAATGTGAGGTCATGTCAAACTAATGAGACCCCAAGGAGAGGAGGCCAACCAAAATTCCGAAAGTCTTGCCGTCCAAGAAGGACCCCTGTTTTCAAAACGTAGAAGACGGTACCTGGACAGTAGCCCGTGCTCAGTCCCATCGTGCGTCGATCAGGACCTCGGGAGACCAGGATTTCACGGGACTCCCATGCGAGCTCCACTTGACAAAAAGTCCTTAAAAACAGAAAGAAAGCTCTATGAATGAAAAGGCGTCCACTTGAAAAGAAGGCTGTATCTGTGAATGTTTGTGCCGGGCTCAAGGATGGGACACGCCTCAGAGCAGAACGCTCTAGCAAGTTCTGGGCTGAGGCGAGCACTAAAACCGCAAAGCGCATTGGGGCAAATCTTGCGGTGGTAAATCTTGCCACGCGCTACTTGTCCCGCAATGGCTGTTGCCTGTGATGGCTTCCACCCAGCGTCGTGTACACCAATAAATCCCGTGAGTGAAGATCACTTCTCGATCACCCCTGTCAGGCTGTTTGCTTACTTTGTGCGAACCTACAATCGGTTCGGCCAGGGTTCAATGCATGAGATTCCTCCCTCAGCACATCAGCTGAACCCGCAGGTAAGGCTCATGGAAAGTAGGGCCGGACCGTCTCCGGCCCACCAACCCTCCTATCACTGAAATGATCCCAGTGATGTCCAAGCAGCACCTCCTACGTGGCTAGGAATCTCCCAAGCAAATGAGTTCCACCAAACAATACAACAATTCAAGTTCTGGCCCATCTACCCCTTCTCCGGCCCAACTCTTGTCTCTCACAGCTGACTGAACGCGAAACGGCAAGCATCCTGGCTGGGACTTGGGGGGAGACCTCCGAAAGGAACGAATTCAGTCTTGCTTTGGAAGCCCCTCATTTTCTTGCTCATGTGGTGAAAGAATGGATCACCCTTACAGCAAGTTGTGACACCACTATTCTTCCTTTGAGGCAGGCATACTAACTGAGCAGCGCCCCAAAAACCAGCTTTGACACTTTAGATCAATTCAGGTCACATGGCCCGTATTAAAGGGAGCGCACAGCAAGATCAGACCTTTGCAGCTTTCCACTGCTTTCTCAGTTTTGCTCCGGCGCGTGCCAACATGTGGAACAAGCAGCCCCTCATTTGCGGCGGAATCCCTTTTCTGTAGACCCTTTCTGCGGTTCCGTTCGTCAATTGTGGGGGTGCATGCAATGAGATGTTGGCCGCCCAGTGACCCTGGTAGAAGAGGGACTGGCTTGGGGTAGAACATGTTCAGTGCAAAACAACCAGGTCCACCCCGCTGAAGGTGGCGGAAGGGGTCCGTAACCTTGATACAAACACCCATTCCTGCACACTTGCGCAAAAAAACGGTCTACGTTTCACCTTTGGTTTCCGAAACCTTTCGAATCAACGCCTGTCCATCCCCAAAAGGGCAAACCCGAGAAGGGCGTCCATCCCAAGAGGGGCTCAGACCATGCGTCGTGACTCGTCGAGTGGCCACATCCTCCTGGTCCGCCAGCCCTTCCCCGAGGTTCGGGGTGGGCACCTGGCGCTAAAGCGCAGATCCAAGGGAGGCCGCGTTGAAGGGAAACCAAGACAGAAGCCCGGCGGCCCCAAAACATGTAAAAGAACCCCCTCCCCCCACAAAAGAAGAACCAAGCACCCAGGGAAACATCTTAAAGTGCCTTCTTGCTGGCATGGACCGCGCGCATGAAGCTTCTGCTTCACCAAAGCTGACTGAGAAACTCGGCAGCTGTGCCGGATTTGAAGCCGATTCGGCCACCGGCCCTGTCTAGGCTGCACGATCATGGAAGCGCCTCAAGGATCAAACGAAGTTCGGTTTGGCAATTATTAGGTGGGCTATACCTCCAGAAATGAACAACTCCCCATTTGCCGTCCCATGTTTTGCTTCCAAACCATGCTCAGTGAAATTCCACATCGCGCCCTACGTTGCATCCGCATTTAAATTGGCACCAGGCGAGTGTCAAGAGTTTCTGGGGAATGTTTTTGGCTCTAGCCCGCTGTTCGGTCAAAAAACAGGTCCACAAAATATATGCCGGCCTTTTGGAAAATAGATGGCCCTGGTAAATGGAATAAACCTCATCTAAACCAGTGCCATCTATTTTTAGCCAAACTAACCTAAAAAGGACGCCTATGTGCCGGTTCCTACCCTCCCGCTGTCTAATACTTCGTGCCTGCCGGATCTCCACGCTGGCGCCGGCCTGTGCTGGACCGAGCGAGTCCAAACGAGTCCAACCTTTGAATTTGCAACCCGCTCCTTAAAATATACGGAGGGATGAAGGCCTCTGTTGTGCAAGTCCCATAGCTTTCCCTGCGTAAACGGCAACTAGACTATGTCCATACAGAACTCCTGGTCTCTTTCCAGGCAAATTTGGATACCCCTAGCTCCTTCCCATCTGAAATCTGGGCGAACCTGTCAACTCATTTTAGAAGACTAGGTCCTCCAGTAGAGAGGTTAGAATAAGGGTACCCTTTTATCTGTCGTCTATTTTAGTAGGGGAACCCTCCCCAAAAAACAACGGTAAAAGTTGGCACCTAGCTGGGGAACCTAGAAGAGATCCAAACACATCTGTCCCAGCCGTCGCCTTTCGCAGCGCTGCGGCGAGAGCCTCGCGGGCGCCGGCCATACGTTCAGTCCTGCGCTGGGCGTTGGAGTGGGATGGCCAAAGCCTTGGGAGAGGTCCAGACTTGGTTTCACTTTTTGTGGGTTTATTGGAAAACCCAACTTGATTTCCAAACAAGTTGAAGTCTAAAGATCCAAAAGAGAGGTCAAGCAAAAGCTCGGGGATTTGGAACGGAGCTCCGAGGATTCAAAGATCAGCTCACCCCTCTCCAAAAAGGTCAACCGGATTTTGGCTGAGTTTCTTCGCTGGCCCCATGGTGTCATTGAAGGGACCCTGTCCTCCGACCTGGCTATTGCAAGAAGGATACCAAAACTCTTCGCCTCAAACCTTCAGTGGAGTTTCATGAGACAGAAACGGCACTCTTTCTTTGGTAGGTGTCAATGGCAAAAAGCAAAGACCTTTGGAGGTTCGGGTGCTGTAGGGGGTCGATTCCGGATTCTGAAGCCCATTGTGCTTCCAAAAACCGGCACCATACAAAGAACACCATGTGGTAGACACGCTGCCCCTCAGCAACCTGCCCAGTCCAGCTGAAGCCCTTGACACTCTTGACGCAGGGCCAAGGAATCGTGGTACCCAGGGAAGGTTGTCACAGATCCGTATCCCAATCAAGGACCCAGTGCAATCTGGGCAAACTGAGCCACTGCAAAGGCCACCTGTTCTTGAAGCCAAGGGACATCACCCTGAGTTTCCTATTAGATGATGTCCTCTTTGAACATCTCCGCGCCAGAAAGACTTCAACCTGTTTCAACAAGTGAGGCGTACATGCCCAAGAGGAGTAACTACGAGGACACAGGGGTGGCATCCCGGGAGTCATCATCGGTCTCGGGAGTCTGCGCCGAACCCCGCCAGCTTTTGACTCTCCGGCTGCGCGTGCGCTGCGCGGCTCAGAGCGCGCTGGTCTGTCTCATGCAAGCGTGCAAGGTGCCGTCCTGACGCCACGTGGTATCTTTCCACGCGACCTCTCGCAAACTGGTCATATGCATCATATGCCATACGTCACATGCAAGCAAGCTTCAAAGGCAGAGGTTGTTGGCTTCGTTGGTTCTTCCTTCAAACGCTGGTCAGTCAACACTTCTGTGCAGGTTTTAACAAACCGTGCCCGAGCTTCCATCAGGTCGGCTCCCTAAGCGTCGGCCATCCAGCCGCCTGGGTCTCCAGTCTCAGAAGCTGCACCCAGGTGTGGGTCATCTGCACGAAAAACAATCCAAGAGCAAAACCAAGCAAACAGGTGGGCTGTTGCCCAACAGATTCTTCACGGGTCTCCCGCAAAACACCGCGCACAAAGCAACACATCTTGAACCTGCCACAGTATCATGTCACCGTCACATCTGGGCCAGCTCCTTTCTTTCCCTTGCCTCTTGCGTCGAGCGACGGCCCCCGACTTTGGGGCGATCGTGCACCGCACGGCCGCTTCACATGGCGCTGACGGAGGGCCGCGGCGTGTAATGGGCCAGGCCCTCATGTGGTATCAGCTCCGAGGTGAAGAAAGCGCCGAAGAAGATGACAAACATCAACACCGCGCCCAGCCTCTGGTCGCATGGAATCCAGACACCCCCGCTTGCCCTATTCCTCCCCCCTTTCCATGGCTTTTTAAAAACATATGATCTTCATAAACGATTAGGAGAAGGGGAGGCATCCCCTGCTGCGCTGACAGCTGCCAACTGGGACTCTAAAGCTTGTTGAGGCTGCAAAGGAGCGAGAGAGAGAGAGAGAGAGAGATAGAGCAAGCGACAAAAGCAAAGGCACACAGAGAGAAAGAGAGATGGAGACAGAGAAAAAAGAAAGAGAGAGGGAGAGAGAGACAGAGATAGATAGATAGATAGATAGATAGATAGATAGATAGATAGATAGATAGACGAAGGGGGAAGCGGGAAAGAGAGAGGGAGAGAGAGAGAGAGAGAGAGAGAGAGACAGAGATATTGATAGACAGAGGGGGAAGCGGGAAAGAGAGCGGAAGAGACAGAGAGAGAGAGAGAGGGAGAAAGAGGATGATGTCGGTAGTTGTTGGCGCCTTTACGTCACGAACCAAAGAAACGAGGAAAGATGTGCGCAGTAATAAACAAGAAAGGCAAACACAAGCTGAGTGCCCACGCACGGCTCCAACTGGTTGCCCCAAGCCCGGCCGGGAGGAAAGTGTCCGCTTGAAAAAACAACGGTTAGCGATGGAACACTGGGGAATCCACCACTAAGATAGTAGCTACAAATTATGGGAGATGTCAAGCTCCGAACTTTGCGTTTACCACTAAAATGATTTCCCGCAAAGTTTGAAGTCAATAAACTCAGGGAACGAAAAAACCAGAAGGGCAGAATACCGCACAAGCCAAACACAGTGCCTGTATGAAAGTCTAGCTGGACACTGCCACGCTGGCAAATTTGAAGCTGCAGTCGCGTCAGGTGGTTTGTGAACAAAACTGTCAAATGCCAACTCCTTCGCTTCCCTGTCTTCTTTGCCTTGCACTGGTTGGTGCGCTGGAACTTTTACATGTGCTTGTCTTGCGTGTGCTCGAGTGTCACACTCCCTTTTCCTGGTTGGTCTGCAACTCGATCCTTTTGGACAGTTTTGGATCCAGCAATGAGTATCCAACCACCCTCTCTCTCTCACACACAAGAAGGCCCCCAAATCAAGCCGCTGACCTTGACTTGACTTGGCATGGTGGGAGCCAGTTGGGTACTTTGGGTTTTCCCTTAAACCATGGTTAAATGGTTCCTTCCCAACATGAACCCGCTCACTTGGCTTTGTTGGAAAAAAGGGTGTTCTAACCCATGAGCAGCCAGGACAACAACGCATAGGTCTTAAGCCGCCGACGTGCCGCTGGGCAGGAAGTGTCCTGGATCAATACCCCTACCTCCAAGGCCTGGTGGGGCCCATGCCATCTTTTGGACTCTTCCAAGACATATGGAAGTCTACCCCCCCGGACTCCCGCAACCACCCCCCAAAAAAAAACAAACGGAATGCATCGGCGGATTCACTACGTAGCCTTTGCTCTGGTGCTGATGGGGTGGAAAAAAAGGTGACAAGTGCACATCTCTCCAGCGCGTCCGGAGTCCTGCACTCACGAATCCCAGAAAGAAGACAAACTGGATCAAGAGCGTGCAGAGGCCCCAGACCGGCCAAAAGGCAAAGAAGAAGAGCCAGACCTGAAAGCTAGGGTCATGGTTTCGGAAGTAAAGCCTTGTGACTTGGGTGCTGTTGACCCCTCTGCACAAAGTTTAACTTTTTGGGGTTTATTGGAAAACACCTTTATTTCCCAAAAAGTTAAAGTCTAAAGATCCAACCCATACCGTAGGATTCCCATTTCCGCCTATATATCAACTGAGGTGTTTCCCTTGGCTCACGGAATGGCCAAGTTCAAGCTTGAATATGGAAGTCTTTCTCTGTCTCTCATTCTTTGAGGGTATCCACTGTGGGGTGGGGCTTGAAAGGCAACCGCATGGAAAGCCATCCATGGGACCTGTCCCATGAGACAAACCCTGGGGAAAGGTAAAAAACAAAAAAACAGCAACAAACAAATCTCAAGGTAAGCTAAGTTGTGCAATGCTTCAACATAGGTGTCCAAACATATGGCGCCCGAAAACCAGGTTCCCCATTCCCTGCAAACACATAAAGGACACACAATTGACATCTTAGGACCTAGGCTATAGGTGCAACGACTGGGTTGGTTGACTTATGACCATGGCAATACCCTACTTACTAAGTTGAACCTTCAAAAATTATCAAAGGAGTCCTTTTTCAACTGATTAAAACTCCCCACCCACAAGGAAACTACACCCAACAAAAAAATGGCACTCCGGATGAATCCGAAGCTAACATTACCCTCCCACCAAACCTGGAACCCACAACCAGGCCCCTCCGTTGCAAAGGGGACTTCAAGAGGCCTCCAGTTGGGTTCTATCTTAGTGGGAGCGCACCCTCCCATCCAACATGAACCTGAGAGAATGATCCTGGAAGCTTCCTCCTTCGGACACGGGTTCCACGCTTTTTCGAGACCCAACATCGCGCTGGGCGAAAGGCGTTGGTGAAGCCCACGATGGCCATCACGGGGATGGCCTTGGGATGCTTCGTCTCCCAGGGCTCTTCGATGCCCAACACGCTGGCGCACCAGATGGCGAGGTACGCCTGCGCGGCTCCGCCGCTCCGCTTCCCGAAAAGGGCGCCCGATATTTCCCAGGTAAACATGGGGTAAAAAGACTTATACCTCGAATGTACCAAACAGGTGGTGTTAAAAAGCACCACACAAGGGGAATGTAGGGAAGGGCCCAACTGCCCGAGCCAATCCGGGAAAAACGTGGGGCCCCGGCGCTCACCCTTTTGGTCCACCCTCGGGCTTTTGGTCATCGCTTTAAAGGCTTGGATGGTCTTGGAACCCATGGGTTGTTACAGATTTCTCAGACGAACAATCCCCAAGAAGGCGCGCTGATGGAAGTCAAAGCCAGTCAGCAAAAAAAATGCTGAGCCCTCAGTCGAAACGAGGGGATTCCGATTTGTTCTTTTGTCCGTTGTGGGCTGTGGGTTTTCAAGGAACCCAAGATAAAACCCATTCTGGGTCCCGGCCCCTTACCTGTTCACCCACCCAGCCAGCATGGAGATGTTGAAGGCCAGGCAGGTCAGCGCCAGGTAGAAGTAAGTGCGGTTCACCAGCGGCGACTCCCAGATCACTCCTATGGCATGGTCAACCCGTGGCGCCTCTTCAGTCTCCCCTCTGCAATGGAGGCAACCTGGTACATATTGGCCCCCCAAAGTCTAATTATTGAACTTACGGTTTCACCATGTTTCACCTGCTTGTGTGGTTTTTTGCCGGGGAATTGATGCCGAGCTTCCAAGCCGGAAGTCAAGGAGTCCCCTGGGGACCAACTACCTGGGCAGCTTCCTGAGGGAAAAGCGGGTGCTACGGAGTGACCTTCGAGTATCGGCATGGCTGGGAGGCCTCTTGGGGCTGACCGGGTGGTTGACTGAACCGACCAAACAAGGGACCCAGGTCGTCCTCCCAAAGGGTTTGACAAGTTGGGTCCCAAGACTTAATTAAGCCGGTTCTAACAAGTAGCTTCTTTTTGGACGCTAAACCTGATCGTCTTTGAGCGCAAGCGATTAAAACCCATTAAAAAAAAGAAGTAGAGCCCGTTCAAAGTGTGCCTTGACTGAGCCCCTGCTGAACAAATACATCAGGTTCCCATGGTCAAACACACACACACACACATCCCTCTCAATCTTCAGAGGACGGGCCAGGGATTCTTTCGCAGGAAGATGCGCAAAACTGCCTGATGCTGCCTTGGGACCTTAGCAAAAGCAATCCCTTTCTGGGACCCAGGTTTAGCGGGAAACCACGAAACAAGGGAAACAAAACCGGTCGTTGAGCAACGTAACTATGGGCTTTTTCCAGTGAAACACCATGTCCTTGGTGAATTCGTTCCGAGCAGCTAAAGAAGTTGGTGTACCAAATGGTGCCGCAGGCGGCAGAGACCCAAAAGGCTGCCGTCAGCTTGCGCCACAGCCACTTGAGGCGGCGAACCTGGGATGTGAATCATGGCCATTCGGGCGTGATTTTGTGACGCCGACTCCGCTGCCGACGCTTTGGGGAGGTTTCAAAAGGAAACCAAAGGGAACACCGCCACCTTTGGGCACCCCCTTATTTGAACATACCAATTTGTGAGAAGTGGAGCCTCACGGTGTCATTGAGCGCTGGTGGAGAACTTGCATCCAGTCACTGGCAGGAAACCGGAACCCTTTTTTGGGCTTGGTCATGTCCAGTGGGAACCCACTGAACAAGGAACCAAAGGCAGTGGTTGGGTGCACGTAGGACCTCGCTTTCATATATTGGACAGGGTAGGTTCGGAAGCGAACGGTTCGCGGGAACGGGGCTTGACATACAGCCCCGCAAGAATCAATGCATGTTGCTTTTCCGGTTTTCCGCTCATGCGCACAAAAACAGCCCCTCAATCAGGGCATTCCAAAGCTGACATGATAACCTGCCCAAGCCTTGGAGAGCCCAAGTTCGTCAGTCGGCCACGTAAAACGATCTGCACCTTTTGCCATAACCAGAGGAAAAACATGGAGAAACATGGATCGCCGAGTCACGGATTGGTGAGTTCAAATATAGGCAAAAGGATGCGAAAGGTGGTCGATTTCCTCGTTCAAATGTCGAAGTTCCCCAGTTGTTGAAGGACACAGGGAAATGTTAAAAGCCGTGACCCACCCCTCCCCGGTGCCCAATGAAAGTGGCCCACTTCTTCTTGGCCCTCTCCCGCTCGGAGAGATTCGACTCGTCCTCTACCTCCTGGGTCCGCGAGTCAGAAATAACTCCCAGAAAAGGCGGGGTCAAGGTATCAAATCACTCAGAATGAGTTAACATAGACACTTTCTTGTTTAACCCCGTGGAAAACCATGCCGAAAATGGGCCCGTGGCTGATATTGATCAAGGTTGCTTGTCGAACTTTGTTTCAAGACACCTGAGCCTGCCTGTGCTGGGTCACTGAATTACATCATCCAAGGAAAAAGTCAACCCCTCTCTGCTAATTCCAGCAATAGAGGTGAACATTGCACATCTGGGCCTGAGCACTCAAGACTAAGCTTAAACTTGATAGTCAAAGCCGCACCCCCGAGTAAAAGGCACTCAAGCGCAGAAAACGAGCAGATTGATGCAATATGATGCAATGCCCACAAAGGAAGGACAAACATCTTGGGCCAAACCTCAACAAGTGTCAAGCGATGCTGCTCCTTAGCAAACACTAGCCCTCAAATGTCCCCTCGGAAGATCACCCCACCAAACCAAACATCATTTTAAACCGGCCCAAAAGGTTATGATTCAAACTAGTACATCAGCTCTTGCCCCAAGCCAAACTTTGATTGGTTTTCACTGATGTCCATAGTGAGTGAAGCTGAAACAACTCATGTCACAAAGGATCTCGAGGAGGCTCTAGGAAGCCCGTAGCTCCCGCACAAGGCGCTGAGTCTGAGTCTGCCTTCTGGCGCCGTCTGAGACCAGTATCTGCTTGCGCAAGCTTGCCTCCGGTCGCACGGGGTGAAAGCAAACTCCCCTAGAGGAAGGGAGCCCTTGGTGGGGCTCAGTAGCAAGGGATCGACCAAACAAAATCGCTTTGTGGAAAGGTCTCAAGGCTGCCTCCCAATTTCCATTGACAACCCAATCCACTGAAGTATGACCCCGGTAAACCAGACCAAAAGCTGATACTGCCAACCACAAATCCCACGTCGTGCAAAAGGCCTGTCCATGTCCCAATGGTTCTTGGCCCGAGGAGGCGCTAGGCGCTAGTTCAGTTCAAGCCGGGCAACAAGCAGCGGCCTACCGACGAATACCGCAATAAGCAAAGCAGTAAGATACAACTAGGCAATCTACGCACAGAACTGAACATGAGTTCCGACATGCTGGTTAGTTGCTGTTGCTGTGCCGTTTCCATTCGTTGGTCTTGTTGTGGCAGTTCACGCTGAACCGCAGGCAACACTGGGATATTGTCCATTTTAGAAGCTGAAAGGAACTAGGAAAACCTGTACTAACGCATGCACGCTGGACCTTTGCGGGCAAGGGCAAGCAACAACCCCCAGCACAAAGATCCTTTGCTGCGCCCAACTCTGGGATACATCAAAAACCGTATTCTCAGACTCCTACCCAAAGTATAACAAAGTTGGAGGAAACCCCAAGTGTTGTTTCTTCTCTTGCAGCCACAGGCGCCGTAAGTTTGCGCACGTTTGGACATGATGGCCGTCGTTTCCGGCGCTTGAAAATGCCCAACTTGAGCCCAGGCGGCAGCGAATAGAATGCACGCGTCCAGCCCATCTGCACAACTTGCACCGTCATTCACCAAATCAACCTTAGGGTGGCTATTCGCGCAGTTGCATAGAAGCATGCCAGGGAATCGACGCTGCCACAAAAGGCGCTGTGCTGGGAACTGCGCAGCTTTTCAGCTGCGGAGCTTGGGAGCAAAGCCAGCCCATGGTGCAACTCAAATTCCAGGGAGCACCAAACATGGGGTTACCCTCGTTCCAACAATCATGGAACTGCACGAGGAAGCTTCCCAAAGAAATGGTCTTACTACGTCTTCCGGTCACGCAGCCATTTTATTATTATTATTTTTTGGGGGGGGTAGTTAAACTGTAACGGCAAAGCATGCTCTCAAACAATGGCCTCCTTTAACCGGGCTCAATGAAGCCAAAAGTAATTACATTGTCCACCCGAACATGACCCCCCAAAGATGGAGGTGTCCTTTTTCTCTGGTAGCCAATTTCTATGCTTTAAGAAGCCTTGGAAATCTTTACCATGGTGGTTTGAGATCTATGAAGGTGTCCACGAGCATCCCTGCCGACCCCTTTGCGACCATGGCACAAATGGGCTCAACCACAAGAGCATCGGGAAACGAAGTCTTCGACGTGAGCAGCCATAGGGCGAACACAGATCGCTCCAAACTTGCAAGCACCCGGACTTAACCTAACCCGTTGTAAAGCGATCAAATGCTGTGCTGGAGACCAGGGGCCTGCTCAAGTCAGGATAGGGAGACCCACTGTTGCATATCTTGAGGGACCTGTCCCACAGGTCTGGCGCTCCAACCACATAAGTTTGACAATGCCGCTGGTGTCAAGAACCGACAGACACATTGGGAGAGAGTTACCGACTAAGCAACACGACACCTTCGAGACCGGCAATGAACGGCTTGTGCTACAATCACTAACCCGCAAAGCGGACAGGATGCACGGGGCCCTCCACTTCCCCTCAAAATATCACCCCGAATTGAAGGGACACTGCCTTGAATGGTGATGGCCCGACAGGGTGATGTTTATCCAAGGCCACGAGTCCTCTGAAAAGGCAAAGGCAAAGAACGGGCCCACGGCAGGTTTCTCCCACTGCCAGCCTTGATCAGTCTTGTCAGTAAGCTCGCTGGGGTTTAGCCATCCTTTTTCGAATTCTCTCTTGTCAAAGATCTCAAAGGTAAACCTACGAAGCCCTAAGCATGTAGAGTCAAAGACACCCCCAAACAAACATGCCCCGATTCGCGGTCCGCGGATCTGTGACCAGGACCCGTCGATGGTGCAGTGGCAGGTTCTGGCGAGAACGGAACCACGGCACAGTTTTTGCACAGAAACGGAAACTGACGAAAGGGTTGCTGAAAAAGCTAGTTTTCCGAAGAAGCACTTTTAAGGCCAACAAAAGTAGGCTGCTTGGACAATTTGTGTTTACAGGGGGGTTGGCCCAACCCTAGACGGAACTAACATAGGTTCCACGTGAGCTTTGTGAGGGGTGGGGCCCTCACGTATCTGGCTTCGCCAAGCTTTGCTGTTCAATGAGAAAATACGCTCGACATTGGCCTAGGTCGGATGCTTCACATCTCCGCCTGCTCCTTGGGACAAGAAAGCCCAAAAGAGGCCCCCTGGAGCGCTTGTGGCCAAGCGCACGCTTGGGTCCGATTTTTAGTGCAGCTAAACTCCTCAAACATCCAAGGTGCTTGTTTCACGTGTTTGGTTCTGCAGGTCCTACACTCCGGGAATTCCCCTGCCTCTCTCCAAGATTGATCATCAAAATCAGCGGATGGCTCTCAATCTGACCAGTCACTGCTCGGCAAGAATCCAAGCGTCAAGGGAATTGAACGTGGCCTTTCAGTGCCCTTCAAACATCACAAAGCAGGGACGTGCATGAGAGCCGTGTTTGTAACCATACTTGAGCGAGCGAGCAGGGGCTGGGTAAGAACGGGGATAACTGAATACACCGTCCAAAAAGCAAGCAAACAGGTTAAACAAGGGCGCTTGACAAAATGAACTCATGGACACGAGGCCGTTTGCCAACCCTAAAAACCCAAACAGCTAAAACAAGGAGACTGCGAAAATAGATCCTCCCCCACCCCCCTGGGACCTGCTTGCCCCGCAGCAGGCGCAGCGCGGCCGTCGCCACCTCCGAGGCCTCCCGGGGGTCGTACAAAACCTCCGAGGCCAGGACCACCTCGGACCCGGAGGCGCGACATTTTGGAAGCGGCTCGAGAGGAAAAACGCGGGAACGCGACACGAGCATTGAGCACCATGGTCCACTTAGCACTCAGATATCTTGCAAGTTTGAGCTTTTCTTGCTTTCTAGCACGGCTGATGTTCTATGAATGGCACGGTTCGAATCCTGGCAGAACACACGCCAGTATTCAGGGAAAGTCCTGTAAATCCACAGCCTTTGTTTTTAAAGTATATGGCGACAGGGTGTGCGGGAAGGCTGTGCCAGGGGGCAAACAACAGTTGGCTGGAGCAACCAGTCGGTTTCAACAAGGGGTGTTCGGGAAAGAAGGTTCCAGTTCCAAGTGGCTGTGGATTTACAGGACTTTCCCTGAATACTGGCGTGTGTTCTGCCAGGATTCGAACCGTGCCATTCATAGAACATCAGCCGTGCTAGAAAGCAAGAAAAGCTCAAACTTGCAAGATATCTGAGTGCTAAGTGGACCATGGTGATGTTCATTCGAGAAAGCCAAACGGGGTTGTTTGTGTTGTCCCAACCTGCCCAGGTTTTGCAACTTGTGAGCATTCATGCTCGGCAATGACACCTGCACATCGCCAACTTTGAGATCGAGGCGTCGTGATTCCAAAACGGCTGAGCGACACTTTGGCTGAAGTGGACGGGGTTCAACTGTATTTTGTACATCTCTTTGCCCCCCCCCTACAGTTCAATGTGTTCCTTTGAGTTCCTTTCACCGCTTCAAGTTCGCAAGGGCGGCTTGGAGCCTTTCACTGTTCACTTAGATGCTCAACGACATAGTCAGATAAGTAGGTCATCAGACTGGTGAACTTTGCGCACGAACCCCCTGTCTTCTTCTTCATGCTCATATAACATACTTACCTGACGTGGATTCAGAATCGAATCTGAGGAGGCTCTTGAACCATTCCACGCCATCCCTGCTTGAAATTGTCACGCTCCTGCCTGGCGATGGAACCAATCAATTGCCTGTCCTGAAACATGATCAAAAACAAACAAAGCTCCGCTAACACAGGAACAAAAGGGTTCAACTCTCTTTTCTGAAGAATTGGATGGCACTGCCCCGGGTCGATCTCCCCAAATTCGAGACAAGCTTCGTCCATTGCCACGTTGAACTGCTGAGGCGCCGCCCAATCAAAGACCGCGGCGCGTACCTTCGCATATCGGGCAGCAGGGCCGCCCATCAGGGAATTTTCAGGTGCTGGTTCGGATGTTGATTGCTAAATAACATGTGATGTGCCCCAATGTATCAAAAACGGGCACCTCCGTTTTGTTAGGGGAAATGCAGCACCCTGGACTTAAGCCTGCCTGGGGGGAATCAGAAAATGGAACCCTGGTGCTAAGGCACATTAAGGCACCCTGCCAGGCACCTTCATCGTCTGTTGGTTTGCGAACCGTTCCAGTTCTTAGAGCTGGTATATACTCTGGACGGGGGGGGGGGGGGAAGCAGTCAACATAGGAATGCATGCCGCGCTGGCGCGCCAAGATGGCGCGGCACACAAGCATCCGAAAATTATGTTCCCAGGCAATCCGGTCCTTCGCTTCGCCTGCAAGAGTCGCCACAGAATGGCTGCCGTTTTGTTTCCCTTCAATCCCACTCCAGCGAATGGTGTCCTTCCATGTCCTTCCTTTGATTTTGTCCAAGCATGTGCTGACACGAGGTCCCCACAATTTGACCTAAGCTTGCGTGACCGACATGCTGCCCTTTGTCCTTGTTTGCGGAGGGATTCTCTTGAAAATCATCTCAGGGATACATTGAGGTCCATTCAAACCCCCAAAGCTTTTGGGGAATGGCCTGAACCCCAGCCACATGCAAGGCAGAGCTATTGTCCATTGTGGTTTTGTGTGTCCATCTGATAGAAGAGCTTGACACGCCTATGAGTGTGCATGTTTGACGGGTACCTTTGTCGCACCGGATTTCTGTGAAACGAAATGGACACCGTGCTAATTCCGGGCTGGTCCCAACCTGGATTCTCCAATGGCTACAGTACCAAGTTCTTTGTTCAGAACCCCTTGGGGCCTTCTTGGCCGTTCGACGGCTTGCACCGAGGCGCCGCGCGCACGTCCGCTGTCTCATCGTTCACGGAGGCCACCGGCAGCTGCTGAAGTGAGGCAGAGGAAGCGGCGCAATGGAGGGCCAAAGGCTCCCGGTCCTGTCGAACATCACGCCATCACCGCACTCGCAGCAACTGGCGTTGCCGCTGAGACGGGAGCTGGCATGCTTGATAATGGCTGGGATGCAAAAGGTCCAGGCACCCACATTCATGAATCATGCGAATGGGGTGGCACGCACACACACACACACACACTCCTCTTGGGACATCTCCATTGACCAACCCCTTTTTTGGGTTCATTGCCCTTGGGAAAAGTCTCCCCCCAAACAGCTCAAATAGGAAATGTAGACCTTCAAGGAGGCAGTTGGACCACCTTTAAGGAGACCATTCCAAGGCTCCAAGCTTCACTTTTTGTTGGCCCGCCTGTTGTTTTAATTCTCAAAAGCCACATGCAACCAGTGACCCTATAGCCAGGGGGCGACAATCTGGAGAGGGCACCGGGATTTGGAAGGATGCACCACGCCTTGGTGTGACGCATGGCACTCCGACAAAAGTTTAGGTTACATTTGGCCACCCAGTTACAAACCCCACCCGGGTGCCGGTGAATGGCCGATAGTTATTCTGCAAGGAAACAAGGGAGCCCTGTAATTTACTGTAACATACTGTACCCAACAAAGCCTCATAGGACCCAACAGGTTCTGACAAACGGGTTTCCGATCTGCACAAAAGGATAATGTGTGTAGCATCCTCACACTTAAAACCCATTTGATGCAGCCCATTACCGGGATACCCAAACTTTGCAGTCGGCCGCTGCTTCAGCACCTACAATGAGACGAGCCGCGAGCAGCAGCACGTCTCTGGCGCCGGCCAGGGCGGCGGTTAGCCCAGCCAGAGCCAAGCCGGCGCCAAGCCTCGGCGGCTGTGCGGTCAGGCGCTTTGGCCCTATGGATGAAAAGAGGGTGAAAAGGATCCTAGGCGGAGGTCTTGTTTAGTCTGCTGTCCAAGCTGATTATAATTGTTTTTTGAAACACCAAGCAGGAGATCTATGACCATTCCGATTTGCCATAGCACACATGTCCAATGTCTAGCCAATGAGGGGTACTGAGCTCTTCAACTGCCCCCCTGACCCCTTGGCTCCCGCAGAATCTATAGTGAGTACAACTTAGATTAAAGCCCCAAGATTGTGTTAAAAGCGACCCGGCAAGGGTATACCCTGAAGGAAGACCCACGAAACACACGCGGGTGAAACTCTTGGGAGCCGCCTTCCGTTTGGCTTTGAAGACAAATCGGGCGGACACCGTGCACCTTTAATGTTATTGAAATTTGAGACGCACCAATCTATTTCGAGGATGGTTCTACAGCAACTGAGAAGCACAAAGCATTCAATGCGACTAGCCCCGTTCATGTGGTCTTCAATGGCAATGTATGAAAAATAGGGAATCGAAACAGGGGAGCCTCGAAATTGCGGTCTGCTTTTCGGTTCCCGTTCAAAATCAACCCAACAAGGGTACCCTGAACAAAGACCACATTATATTAACATGTGTGTGTTGTGGAACGCGTTGAGGCTGGATTGAAAGGCACGACATCTTGGGCAGTGCAATCCCTCTTGGAGTCGAGTGCATTCATATGAAACTTTTGATAAGAACAAATGAACACCGGAAAATCCTGAAGGTCCGGGTTGCTTCCGACGCCGGATCATGGCCCTCCAACAAGGGCCGATTGCGGCTGTCACTCATGATACCTAGAAAAATGCCTTCAATCATGGGCCCATGTGCAGAACCGGAAACTGGCGCAGGCGGCGGTGCTGCCAAAGAAAGATCCGATGGCTGGGGCTCCCAAACTCCCAATCTGATTGACGCAGAATAGTAAAGAAAACAAACTGCACTCCCAAACCGATTCACGAGTATAAAGTGTGTCGACTTCTGCTGTGCTGTGGGCTTGTAAGGTGTGCGTAAACAAAATGCAGGCAACCCTGCCACCTGCCCTATGTTTTGCGAAAGAACAATGACTCGATTTTGACTCAAGGCTTATCCATATCCAGCCGAGATCCAGGGTGCCTGGTTTCCTTTGGGAGGGTCCAATGTGCAGGTGAAAGCCACTCATATCCACCCCACATTCATCCACTTGGTGCATTCTTCGGAACACGTGTTTCAAGAAAACATGATCCCCGCACCCCCACCCCCACTTTGGCGCTGCGCCGCCTTCTCAAACTTTCAGGGGGCCCCCCCTCCACCCTGGCTGCGCCGAGATCAACCCTGGGGCACTCAGGGCCTCTGACCCTCGCCGCGGATTCCCAGGCCCTCGGATTCCGAGGCCTGGGCTCCGCCACGCGGAGGTCTCGGACGCTCCGCGGGTCCGCGGCCACGAGCTCCGCCAGGGCCGCGCTGCAGGGCCACACCTCCAGCGAACGCGCGCGCGCCCACCGCGGGCAAGTGAGCGGCTTTGGGGGGTTAGCCGCTTTTTGGTGGAAAAAAATGGAAGCCAAAAGGAACCCCATCATTGTGTGATTCTATTTTGGGGGGTTCCCTAAAAAACGACACCCCCAAGATCTGGGGTTTGAAAAAGATGACAGTGCCTTCTTGGGTTTTCTTGGGTAAATCAAACAAGGCACTGTGGATGGACCAAATCTTGCACCACTTTGAAACGGAAAACCATTGTGTTGATATTTGCAGGGGAATCATCATCCCAGGGCTTCTTAGCTGGTGCAGGGTTTCATCCATCCACAGTACTGAAAAGAAATAAGCCTAGGAGCTTCCCGTTTTCTCGTTTTCTCTGAACAAAAGGTGCGCACGGCAAGGGAGAAAAGCAAAGCTGGTGGCGATTCTAGACATCACCTTGAAACAATTTGACCGTTGCTGGCTGAAGGGGGGCAACAAGACAGCTCCACCAGAGTGGGCGTTGACTCGCTTGACATCCCACCTGCGCCCAGGAAGGATCTGCCGACCACTGGCCCCGCTCCTGGCCGTGCGTCAAACCCAGTGCAACTAGGATCGGCTTCATGCCGGGGACCTCCCCCAAACAAAAACAGGTATCAATGTCTAGAGTTCTCGACTCCCGTCTTCCAGGATTCTGGAAAAGCCTGCCGATTAACAAAGCACCCAACAAAAGATGTTTGGATTTGGCGGATGTTGTTGGGCTCCATGTTGCTTTGCAAAAGTAAATCCCAGACTTCTAGCAGATTTGCATGGGGGAAACGGCACCATCTTTTGGTAAGCTGTTTTCAAATGCAAAGCCCTACAAAGGAGAAAAACAAGGGCACCTCAGGAGGTCTGGGAAATGTGGGCGACTTCATGCTGAGATACTGAATGCTGCTTACCCAGTTCAGTCATCACCATCTCCATAAACTGGAGGAAACCCTTTGGGTGATGATTTTGATCCAACGCAAGCAAACAAAAACAGATGCCAAAACGAACTTGGGTGGACATGCGCCATCTACCTTCACCCACTGTACAAGATCCCCTTCAGAAATCTGGGATCTTCATGATGCTTAAACTTCTTCTTCCAAGCAAGGCTGCTGCAAACACTTGCAAGCTGTCACTTGGTTTGCAGCCAAACGGTTTACTCGCTTCTGTCTTAGTAGACTGGTATATATCTTGAGCAAGCGTCTGCTGGCCACTGCTTTTGCCAAGAACGGTGCAACTGGTTGCAACTCGCCCTGTGGCCGTGGTGTGTGCGTGTGTGTCACGGCAATGTAGGGAGGCAACGACAAGTGGTGAGTGAGACACACATGGCGCCGGGCCACACATGTGCAAACAAGACAGGCACACGAGCAAACACACATACCTCGTAACTGTTAAGCGGTCTATTGCAATTTTAACTAAAACAGAAACACAAACGCTGAAGTTCGTACTGTCTCAGTAGGGAACGAGCCCGGAATGCGGAAACAAATGATCCCTATAAACCATCTTCTGTGGTTTCTGTCAAGGAGATCGCTAGATCCATTCTCAAAACCTTGATTCCTTATTGAGAAACTAGCAAGAATCAGCAAAACCACGGGAACCCGGCGTTTGACAGCTCGAGGACCCCGAGTCGCGACTGCCTCGTACCACTCCCAAAGAGCCTCCACCTGGGAACTACCCGGTTGCTGGTTGAAACTACACTTGCCATGCCAAAATCAACGTTGGACAGCCTTGAAAATGAAAACGACGCAAAAACACCAACAAGGAGTAAAAGGCTGATTTTGTTGGAGAAATTCTGGGGAAACCAACAAGGCAGAACAAAAACACCCTCCCACCAAACATGGCTTGATACACGGGCTCCTTTTCCAAAGGAAAGCAGTCTTCCATGTTTGCTTGTGACACACCATGTGGCATCATCGCTTTCTTTCTGTGGCTGTGCGCATTGCAAAGGCTGGCGTGAAAGCTAAAGCAACAAGTAAAAATTGCAAATCGATGGTACCCTCCTGTTAAACGGGGAACCTGACGTTTCTGGCTCCTCAGTCAGACTGTTTTTTCAAGGGGGCTCTGTGGTGAGTTCCAACATGGGCGCTCATATCAGTGGGTTCCGGAGGGCAAGCGCTAAGTCTGGGGCACTGGGGGGTTTCACCAGCGCTCTGAACTCTTCCTCGCCCACGTTGAGGTCCAACGGCACCTGGGTTCGGCTTGCGACCAAAGCGCCGTCGCTGTGTGTCTCAACTAGGGGACTCGTTTTGGGCTTTGCGCTTTTGAGGGCAACCAAAGAAACAACAACATAAAGTCAAGTCAGCATATAACATAAGCCCCTCAATAATTAGGGCGTGGGGACGATAAAACGAAACTACGCCAGGCTGACAAGCGAAAAACATGTGTGTATTGATTCAATCATCCTCTCATATCATGGGCCATTTTGGCTCCGTTGCCAGAGTGCAGGTTTGCAGTTTGTTGCCGTGCGACTTGCTAAGAACTCTGCGGTCAAATTCATAGAAATCACAAATAGGACAACCTCAAGTAAGGGACCCTCATCGTCTCGAGCTCGTATTCCCCTGGAGGCTTTTGTGCTTGGGTGGCTGTTGACTTTTGTGTGGACCCCACCAGCGCCACTTCAACCTCTGTTTTGTTTGGACCTCCAACAGTGGCAATGTCACACAGAGGACGCAAGCAACCTTTGAATGATTTTGAAGGGACATTTCTTGATGGCAGGTGTCAGGTTTAGTTTGGTGTGCAGCATGCTCTTTCCTGTGACCGGAGCATAGGCTACCTACGCACTTCCGATCGGGTCGATCGGCCAAAAACGGAGTCCACATTTTGCGGTTGTCGCGCAACAAACAACTTCCCAAGAGTGCGTCCTTTCTCACGGAGCATTTGCAGCGGGAAGTCAGGCGAAGCAAAAAGCCAACGGTACATAGCTAGGGCATCACCTCCGATCTGGTTTTAAGGTTAACATGGTCTACCTTGAAATGAGACAACTTAACAAGCACGCACGGGAACAACAAAAACAAAAAACGCACCAGACCAGGGTGGACTCAAATCACCACTGACATGTGAGTGCAGACAGTCGTCCGACACCATGGCGCCTTACCCATTAGGCGACTGGTCCTGGCATGCGCACAGACAGAAAAGAACAAAACAACTTTTAACGGTTCTAATTATGTGCTGAGTGGCCGCCTTTGTTGTGGTGGATGGCTCCCGAAGTTGCCTTAGCTTTTTGGATTTTTCGTGCCGGAATTTGACCCACTAAAAGTCAGTCACTTTTAGCAGGGGATCTGAAATCGGGCAGCCCAGAAACTTAACTTGCGGAGGCAGCTGGCAAAAACAAACGGGATTCTTTTGGGAGAAAACGCGCATTTTGGCCAGTCAAACATACCTCTAATAAGGGTTGATGATCTCCGACCATTTTTCTCTTCATTTTGGAGACTGCCCCCCTATTTTCCCGAAGGATGCCTGAAATTGCGAACTGTTAGTCAGTGCAGGATCCAAAGGAAAACGTCAAGTGCTGAAGTGCAAATAGGCCAATCCGCGACAGTGAAGGGCTAAATGAACCCCTTGTATGAAACTTTGGTATCTCAGATGCCTGGTGTTTAGCTCAAAAGTGGGCCTAGTAAATAATAGATGAGCCCTAGCGACGTCTCAAAAGGCCCCGAGCGCCTCCACCAAGGGCGGCAACCAGCCGTCTCCAGGGTGCAGCCAGCGCACACCGTCGTGGGCCACCAAGGCCTACAATAAAGGAAACGAAACCCACGTTCACGAATTGAAAGTCAAAGTGCCATGGTGCCATGGTGCCATGATATGCCATGATGATGGTGATGATGATGGTACGATGATGATGATGATGATGATGATGATGATGATGATGATGATGATGATGATGATGATGATGATGATGATGATGATGATGATGATGATAAGGTTATTGCATGGACACTTTGGAGTGCTTTGGTATGTGCAGTTTGCGCCCCGCGTGGATGGCACCCCGGAAAATGCCCAAAGACACCGAGGACCCCAATTCTGATGACTGATGATCGCTCCCCGATCTAGGGCGCATCCACAAAATGTGCTTTACACAAATACAGTAGATTGAGGTCGGGTTGCCAACCTGGAAGCCACAGATGTCAAAGGGATGGCTATGGACAGTCCTCGCTTCATAGTCTTAAGGGGGTCCGAGTGCTGCTTGTCCAGACCCGGATTTGATAGAACTAGAGATGGAGTCTGACCCTCTTGGATTGTCACCTTTCCAACACTGGGCGCCAACTAAAAGCCCGAGTCCCACTTGACTGACCGAAAAGCACGCCAATCTGACCTGATACAAGGGATGCCCATGGCTGAGAGCCGAGGTTCTTTGATCTGGCCGTGTCACTCAAATCCGCCCAAAGGGAATCGCTCGCGGTTGCTCCAAAGTATGAATGAGCAGGCCTGACAGGTGAACGTTTGTGCAATCGTTTGATGGTTGGGCTCTTTCGCTGAAAAGGCTACACAGTTTGCATTGGTCAAGTCGAACAGTGTCTCGGTGGCGAATGGTGGCGTCGCCCTCGCAGGTTGTGGCAGGTCCGTTTCAGCAGCCCCCGCTTGCTCGTTGCTCCCGTTTGCCGCCCAATTCACACCACAAATTCAAACGGCTTTGACGACAAACAGGTTTGGGGAACGTCCGCGGCCGGTCTCACCCCTGATAATTTCGACCTCTTCGTTCTTACCTGTCTGGCGTCTGTCACGCCAAAAGGGCTGCAATAGGAAAGAAGAAGGAAAGTGGCTTTTGCATAATTTGTCCCATGCTAAAAACATCCCCAATCAAGAACAGGAAGACTGGCCTTGAAGGGGAGGTACTGAGCTTGCCAAATCTGCTCGCCAGGCTTGCTTGCCAAACCTGCTTTGTTCCAGCCCACTACAGCATTAAAGCCGCCACTTCGACACATACTAGTATTTGTGGCAGAGGTATTCTAAATAGCTCTTGCAAATAATATGTTTCTCTCGTGTTTCTTGGTGGGGTGAAGAGTACGCCTTCAACCGGTTTGGGTACTTGCCTTGGTGCCTCTACAATGTTGGGTCACATTCAACTTTCATGCTTGTTGTTTGGGGGCCCGACCGCCAAAAAAAAAACACAAATGATTCCGAAACGCGAAGGGGCAAGACCAGGGAATGCCTAATAAGTCATCCCCAAGTCATCCTAGCTCCTAATCCCTTCCATCTCTGCCTTCCCCGGCTCATTTGCCTTTCTGACAAAATTGACGCCTATGGTGGAAACTGCCATCTCATGCTTACTCTCAGAAATCGTCCGCGAATCGCTTTCTCGTTTCCGAAAATGATGTCACCGTTCCAACGCGGGGCAGGAAATCCAACATTTGCCAGCTGTTCGTGTACGCTCCCATCTGTGGACCTCCTTAGCTTGGTTTGGCCTTGCCCGGCTGCGTGACTTGAAAGGCAGAGACAGGAACCCACTTTGGGCATTGACAAGTGCTTCGCTTGTGCTTGCCGCGTGCGCATTGGCGTTGGCTTATGGATCCTGGATAGGGCAATGTACAATGGGAGGGGCCCCAAAGGAATGTGCTTTCTGGATTCCCACTAAAACCGCACCAATGGTGCTGGAAATCCTCGCCCAAAAGCTCTTTCAGCGACTCGCGCCTCCCAGCCCCGGTGCGGCTCGCCCTTGGCAATCCGAGGGGAGCGCCACTCCTGAAAGGTCTTGACCCCGCCCAAGAGCTTGACTAAAACCAATGTGGGCGTCTCTTTTTAGGGGACCCCCCCCAACATGAAAACGGTGCTCAAACAAAGACACAAGCATTTCTTGGAGTGGATTGGCAACAAAAGGAACATGTTTGCTTGAACCTGAACTGAAACAATCGAAACACCCCGTAGAATACCAAAGCTTGTCAATATTCATAAAATACCTGGCTCCAATGAACAGCTAAATGATACAGTTGCTATTGATTCACTTGCTCTTCTGATTGCATGTTTTCTTGACCAAGTCCTGATTTGGAATACCTGCTACCATGTGCCTTGTATTTGTGGTTGCGGTTTTCTCTGACCAAAGCCTGAGGATTCAGAAGAACAGCTTGCATCCTCCTCCATTCCTTTGCGGGGTGATTAAAACATAACACGTCTTCGTTCAAAGCAAGATATCATCAGCTGAAATTGTACACCTGGGGGTAAAATTGATGCAGGCCCCTTCCTTATGTCCCCACTTTCCCCGCATTAACTGGGGGCGCCATTCCATTTTCCTAGATTTTTCATGAGGAATCATGAAACTACAAAAGGACATTTCTGGGGTCACCCTCCTCCTCTCCCATTTCTCGGGTAAACCACTCAATTTCCGCACCGTGAGGAGCCAGGGCATAAACTGAAAAAGCAGCCACAGGTTCCTGCTAAGCTGCTAGGGTGTGGCGCCTTCACGCCTTTGGACACGACTAGGGAGGCCTTTCGCATGAAAGCCTTGTTGGATGACCATGAGCCCCGGACGTCTTCCAAAACAGCGCAAAAATGTCAAGACAACTCAGCCAAACATTGAACAACAAATCTCCAGTGCCGGGCCATCCTTCGTTCCCCCCGCCCCCCCCCCCGCCCGCGTGTGCGCGCGCTTGCCGCCTCCGTTTCCCAGACCTTCAGAGGCGGCTGCTTGATTTGGGGATGTCCCCAAAAGGGGGAAGTGCGCCGCTGGAAGTCTGGGGCGTGTTTTCTCGGTCTTCCAGTGCAGAAAGAGGTGACGCGGGCTGGCCGGCTGAATTTCAGCGCCAAGGCGAAGCTTGCCGGTTTTCAGACGTCTCACGTCAGAACCGGGCACAGTTGAAACCCTTCGCGAGCCCCACTCTGTGCGTGGCAGTCGCCTCAAGCCAGAAACTGCCCATCTACAAAGAAGCCTCTTGGCATGTCAGTGTTGCTTCATTCTTCAGGTTTACAGCCCATCTTATCAGCCCATCCAAGCAATTAGAAAACACGATGAAATAAGCAGGCTAGACACTCAGAGTTGCATTAAGGCTCTTGAGTGTGGAGAATTCGTAGATGCCTGCCCCAAGCTTCGTGACAATCACAAAACCTCACAAACACACAACACACACACAAGAACAATTGAGACTTTGGCGAAATTATAGTCGCAACAGTTTGAACTAGTTGGCTCAGTTGGCTCTTCATTGTGGAACTAAACGTGTGAGCTATGGTCAAACTATTGCTTCGCCCTAAAGGATGTGGGAAAATGATTAGTGAATCTTCTGTTTTGCGTGGGACGTCGGTTGATTCCTCCTATGTCTCCTAGACGACTGGAAATAATGACCGACCCTCATGCTCCACCGCACAGTTTCATGCAAAAGATGAAGCAAAAGGGCAGTACCCGCGCACGAAAGCATGTCAACCCACCAAGAGATAAGCAAAGAAGAAAAGAACAACATGTTCAACCCGACTCGAGGAGATTCCGCCGCGTGGGGCAAGCTTGCTGCGCTCAGCACACTGGCCTCAAAGGTCTCAGCCTGTAGTAGGGATCGAGCCCGATTTGGGCGTCCCTTTCAAGCGGGCGACAAGAATTTGTCCCAAGCCAAAGCTGA